ACGACGTTGTTTACATAGTTACTTGCCTATCCCTCAACCTGCTTTATTAAATAAACTATGATGATGATGATGATGATGATGATGACGTTATATGTATACTAACAGTCGACGCAAAACCCTCCAAATCGCTCAAATTCGCCATTTAGAGCCACGGAAACGACAATACACAGCAAGTGAGGTAGGTTTACACTTATTTTTTGAGCTTTAACTGAGACATTTCATGATATAAGTTTACGATAATAAGACTCTTCAATATTCTCCCATACATTCCTTTATATTTCGAATAAACAACCAGACTCGTCGCTTATCTGGGCCCCCTGTGATTCTACTTGAAAGTTTTACCAGTGTGACCCGATAGCCTCGTTTCGAAACTTATAAGTCCGCTGAGCTCTCGTACAGTGGGCGTAAATGCGATAAGGGCTATTATCACGCATAGAAATCGAGGGCGCGTAATCTAATTTTTTTTGTGTTAAAATATTAATCAGTCGTTCAACATTAGGCAGGTTCATGCTTTCCTTTAATATCTTTTTTACAACCGCGCGTTGTTAGGCTACTCTTGCTACTCAGTGTCTATAATCCGAAAAATGAGTATTTGGCGGAGAAGCGAGGCTTGGAGGGCGAATGGGAAACTGTGAAGACAATCTCTCTGTGGCAGACATTATCAGCCAAAATACCAGTAAGCCAGAGGGATTTTCATTTTATAACCCTCCATTAATTTTCACTGATATGTCGCACCTTGACAGCAAATTTTGTTGACTTTTTTTATACTTTCTGGAGCAGCATTTCACTCTACATAGGCGAGTTTACCTCCAAATAAGTAATAAAGACAAACCCTTAAGCTTGCCAACACAGGGAAAAGGCCCTGGGAACGAGGTTGTCAGTTACTTATAAATGCACTTAACATTTTTTTTTTCTACTTTTATTTTGTCTTGGTTCAAAGAAGGCAAACTGCGGCAAGATTTAAAACTTTACTGGTCTGATTTTCATCTCAGCTCTCTTAGCGGAGTAGTGCTGTCCTTTCCAGTCGTACCAATTGACTCCATCAGCAAAAGATGAGTGCTTCCCATGATGATAAACACCGTTCAAGTTTGAGCTATGACAGTGACTGTACCACCAGGCTCCTTTAAAGGTCACAGCACAGTTTTTGCCCCAGGTGTCATTGTCCTGATCTTTGGTTGAGAAGGGGAGACCACGATGCCCAGAGAGGGAATTACCTGCAGTGCCTGAAAAGGAAAACAAGAATAAAGTGAAGACAGAATTCTAAAGCTACACCTTGTGCAGGAGGCTAGTCTTCAGTTCCAACATGAAACTTGTACTTCTAAAATAACGTTTAACTCAGAAAGGAACCAGTTCAATGTTAATGCTCATAGAAAAATCAGTTTAACTTTCTGAGACAATGTGTCATAATCTGATAATCGAGACTCGATGTGATACAAGTTAAAGGTAGAGTTGGCTAAAGAGAGGGGGCGATCGAGTCTGGCAATTTGACTCTTCTCTTCAGTTAAGAAAAAATGTACTTTTGATTCTTTTCCGTCAAAATCAACCGATATTCACTCAAATGCCAATTGGACACCACTGCAATACGGTCAAATGGAAATTCTCTCCCTTTCTGTCATGAAAATGTCTTAGAGATCGATAGCTCATGACTTTCGATGTACTTACCAGAGTAGGTTCCAAGACTCAACTGGTACTTAGTCCTCTCGCTTGTCACCGCAAACAAGTCGTAATCGGCATAAGCAGTTTTACCTGTAGTATCTTCTAGATCGACTCGAAGCTTGTTCTTTGTTTTTGTCAGGCGGTGTAGCTTATCAAGCCCCAGCCAAAACTCACCCTTCAGATTTCCGAAGCCATTCTTGTAGTCGGCCCAGCCGCGGTAGAAATTAACGGAGCCATCCAGTCTCTTTTGGAACACTGTCCACCCTCCACCGCTTGTTGTTTGGTCACAATACACATCAAAGGCGCCTGAACCATCAGGATCGATTTTATAAATACCGCTGACTCTGTGACCACATTTGTACAGTTCAGCGCAGTTCTTCTTGACTATCAAGATGGGAAGAAAAAAAAAAACGAAATAAATCGTGAGCTATTTACATTCTAGTCCACCGACAGCGGCACCGCTAGACTAGAGTAAGTGTGTGTAGTGTAGCGCCTGGGAGAAAGGATGAAAATCTTGTTGGTAGGTTAGAATAAGACTAAATGAATTTTTTACGCGTATCTCTAATCACCTTTCGGTATCTTTTTTTCTTTGAGAAATTTTATGTCATTTTGCACGAGAGTGAGTTGTTTCTTCAGGCCCTCCAGCATTGTTTCAATCCTCTTGTTTGGTGCTTCGTAGAAATATATATTGTTACACTTCTTCGTATCGAGTGGCTTAGTTGCCTTGCTCCCTGACTTCGCTGAAGCTTGATTGGGAGAAAACAACGCCAAGAACAACAGACTGCAGAGTAAACTCAAGGAAACACGCGGCATTGTACAAATTTTGACGATTAGCTTATCACGCCTTAAAGAGAGCTGATTAACCGTGTCGCTGCCTAAGAGGAACTGTGATTACTTTACAAAGAGGGAAAGAAAAAGATTACTGGCTGTTGCGTCATCAATATTTAAGTACAGGAGAAATTTTCCTGTTGGATACGTGATAGCAATATTTGTATTGGGATTAAAAAAAAAATGAGTCTTGCTTTATGGCGACGAGGCAACTTTTTTCAACGAGCCATAATTCCTTAGCTTACGAGAAATTCGTCTTTCATTTCCTTAAAAAGTACCCAATCAAATGCATTCCATGTTTAAGAGAAAGTTTTTCTTCTTACAATGTCCGGCTACGTCCTTTGGGTGCAGTTTACGCGGCGCAGGGGATTTTATTTTTCGCTATTTCTAATGTTTTCGCAACAGATGACGCTGGGAGGAAAGTCGACTTTTTCAACTCGTAACTCTGCTTCACATTGGAGTCAGTGAATTGGTGTCATCGAGTTTGAAAGGTTCATATTGCTTGTAATGAAATTCTGGATTTTTAGATTAACAGGCGTTACAAAGGAGGACAAACTCTTTATCCAAAACGACGTTGTTTACATAGTTAAGCAAGAATGAGCGCTTCCCAAATGCTCTCAAATGCATTTATGTGTATAAACCCTTTGAGTTTTGTTTCTCACCACGAATGAATAGAGAAGACTTCGTCGTCTAGAAAAACCAAAGGTTTTTGTTTTCTGATGGGAAAAACGTAGATTCACACACGGCCGGTCGTAATCGGTCATTAGTTTCGCCGAAAATTTGGCCTAAGGTACCTTAAGTTAAGGTGACCACGTGAGATTCGAGGAGAACATAAACTGATCGATTCGTTCCCTATTTGATTACAACCTTTATAGTTTCTTCGTTCAATTTTTTTTTAACTACTTTAATCAATAAAATTTGTAATAGACTTTTTTTATATTTTTCTGTTTAAAAAATCCACTGATCCTTTCAAAGTTATGCAAGGATGAGGGCCGTCGTGTTCTATTACGAGAAAATTACGATTTATCTAATTGGTAAACATCCAGCTATAATTTAGGTCAAACATATTCCTAATAAACTATTTTAACTCACGATCATTGTCTGTGTCAAGGTTTGATTTCCTCTCGCCAACTAAAATATTGCTTCGTTCCTCTTTCGAAGATCGATGATCCGTGATTTACTCATAACATTAAAGTGCGAAACAAACTAATGAATTTGTTGATCAAACTGACTAAATCTAAATAATTCGATCGACCTCAAGATCTTCGTAAATTTCCACTTCTTCTTTTGAAAGTAACACAGATGCAAATGTACACATTCAGTGTTTGAACATTTACTGAATATAAATATTTCATTTTAATGTCGTGAACTATTCCCCCAAAAAGTTTACTTGACCAGTCCGTTCTTAAATCTAAGTTAAGTTTGGGTGTGTATAGGAGATTAGGGGCGATTCGATTTAAAATCGAGAATATTTAACTCAAACTTAGGAAGTATTGTAGAACAAAATCGTTTTAATGTTAATTTAAGAAAATGACAGGGTAACCAAACATGCAGTCTTATCATGTTTTCATGTTTACCTTATGATATTGTCAGGCTACTTTCAAGCTGGCATTTATCAAGGTAGGCCGGAGAAAATGTTTCTTTTTGCTGTTTCACTCTCCATTTTGTTTTTTCACTCTCTAAAATTTGACTGTTTGTTTCTTCTGGGCTAGAAGTCTCAAGATGGTTTCCGAATTTTTTTCTCAGATTAAAAACGACCGTGGCTAATTATAACAGGCCGGAAGGTAGTGAATTTTTAACCTCTACTGCGATGCGTGAAAGTCAACATCAGACGTAGAAGAATCAGAGGACCGAAAAGGGGAACTTTAAAAATCTAATCTTGGAAAGGGAAATAGAATACGCCTATCTGCCATAAATATTTAAACTAAATTTCCTAAGTATGCGTTCATCGATGGTTCATTTACCGTCTGCAGTGATCTTGCAGGACGCGATTGTATCTTAGAAAGTTGAAATCAAGTGAGAATTTCGCCCTACAAGAAAGCGCTCTTCATACAACGTTTGAAGTAAAGAGGTCTTTTAAAAGTTCGATTTTCGAATGTCGTGACAGTTTTTGAACTAGACTTGGATAGAAAATAAGGTGAAGTAGTGATAATCAAGATCATAACAATGAGAAGCGAGAGAGAACAGACGAGACGGGCCGTATAATGATACGGGCAGTATAATAATACGGGCAGTATAATAATACGGGCAGTATAATAATACGGGCAGTACAATAATGGGAAGAAACGCGTGAAGTGTAATGTATTATATTACTAAGCGTTGTTACTGTTTAATGTGCGTTTAACTTGTAATTTTTACGGTTTTCTGTTTACAAGGTCTTCGTTTTCGTACTGCGAAAACGAAGACCGGGGGTCTTCGTTTTCGTACTACGAAAACAAAGACCGGGGGTCTTCGTTTTCGTACTATGAAAACGAAGATCCTGCATTAGCCAAAAGAATTGCTTACTTTTTAACTAGAATTTTCCAGCAGAGAAAGATGAACGACCGTAAAAATCTATTTTAGCTACGAAATACAGTAGAAATTGATTATGTATTGACAGAACCCAAGACGGTAATTTTTCCTGTACAGAACGCCTTCTCTGTTATTCTGTCACGCAATGCTAACTATAAATCAAAGGCGGCTAGCGTTCGAATTCTGCCTGCTGTTCCAGAATAATAATGTGTTGTAAGTTTACCTGAGGAAAGCCTCGAGAATATCAACACCGAATTGGCTCGCATTGCGAAACAGAACAGACAAGACGGGCCGTATGATAATACGGATAATAATGGAAGAAACGCGTGAAGTGTAATGTATTATATTACTAAGCGTTGTTGCTGTTTAATGTCTGTTTAACTTGTAATTTCTACGGTTTTCTGTTTACAAGGTCTTCATTTTTCGTAGTACGAAAACGAAGACCGGGGGTCTTAGTTATCGTAGTACGAAAACGAAGGCCCGGGGTCTTAGGTCTTAGGTCTTCGTTTTCGAGGGTCTTCGTTTTCGTAACACCCTGCCTCACGCCTTGGTCAGCGGCAACGTTATGGTACAAAATGGTGGCTGGTTAGGGAATGAGCAGATCAGGCAATAGCCTGTAGCCAGAGGGTGAGGAATGGCCTCTAAAGGCTCAGGGAGTCTTCCAAGTTTTATCTCAGGGTACTATGGACCAAGCTCTAGTAGTTCAAGAGCCTTTGAAAGCTTAGTGAGGGCCATCGGAGAAGCGAAGTCGAAACAGGCGAGTTCATCAGATTGTTTTCGTCTTTTATACACGTTGACTAGAATTGATAGATGATAGTCTGTATCTTTTAATATATTTTTAAGCTTAATCCTCCGTCTTCGCTTCCAGTGAAGCAATTAAAAATGTTGCAAAGCAATTAAAAATGTTGCAAAATACTTTGTTGCAGATGCACTAGTTCACAATACAGTACGTGATCGTCAAATTGGTGTCACTGTCCAGTTTCTGAGAAATTTTAGAGTAATATTTGTTTCCTCCCATCTGGAATTTGTTTTTCAGTTAGAAAGAAAGACTTGCAAGATTGGAATTTGATGTTGCAAGTAATTAGTAAAGAAAGTGAATCTAAGTTTTTACACTCGCGCTGTATTTGGCCTATCACCTTTGTAGCTATTTTTCCTTTGTAATTCCTTTTCGTAAAAAATGAAACAAGTGAACTTACCTAGCCTGTGCTTGTTTAGGATGAGGACAGAATCGCCAAGAAAGAACTTGGAGTTTTAAAAGACAAATTAATGCAACCAGACACGTCAGCGGTAAGTAATTTCCATTGTTAGGTACGTGTTGAAATTTATGGAGCTCATGAAACGATCTTTTAAAATAAAATTATGTAAATTTTTCTAAAAGAATACAAATTGCACTTTCGAGTTCCCTAAAAGCTCGTGTAATTTTGTTGTCTTTGAAAAAATTAGTCGTGCTTACAGTAAAACTAAGTTGCCCTCAAAATCATGTTATTAGATATTATAAAAAAAAAACTCTACCATGTGGTCTTGGCTTGTTCTCCAGAAGCAAATGCGAGAGTATCTTGTGCGTCTTATCTACTGTGAAATGCTGGGTCATCATGCATCCTTTGGTTATGTTGAAGCCATCAAGTTTGCACAGCAGTCAAACCTTTTGTACAAGAGGGTTGGTAAGCAACAAGTTTGTATACCTTGGAGTGAGTGTATTTTTGGCGAGTTAGCCAAATGCAAAAATGTTAGCTGCAATCTTTGAGTTGTTTGGTCACAGGGAAGCTGTGGAGAAAATTTATTTACTCCAAAGGGCGTTTCAAGATAGGCAAGAGAAGGGAAGGGATTGGGGTTTGAAAGCTACTGCTACTTGTATTTTTATTTTTATTTTTTTTATGGTAGCCATTTTAATGCCCTTATAGCATGCAACTTCCATACTGTGCTCTGTATGTTTCTTAAAGTGCTGACAGGGAGAATTTGTTTAATGATCAGGAGCTTCTTGAGTTGGTGATCATTTCCATTATTCTTGTGATCTAAATGTCTGATTCACTGGTGAATTAGTGTTAGGAAAAATAAGATGCTATTGTCACTCTTGTAGGGTTCAAAGCGTTAAAAGCTATTTTTGTTCTCTGCCAATTTTTTTTTTTTAATTTTTTTTTTTTTTTTTTATGTTCAAATCCTGAAGGAGTTACAGAACATTAGCCCAATTTGGAAAAAAAAAACAAACTTATTTTTACCCTCAGCTGTGTTTATAGTTGAAGTACTAGGGGAGGCGAGCAAACAACTGAAACAAATAATTCGAATTGACCATAATATTGTTAAGAATCCCAACTGGCCAGAGGCAAACCAGTTGGCTATTTACAAGCGTGGCTGAGGATTTGAACTCGGAGCTACCGTGAAACAAATCCAGGGAGTGATGGATTGCGAGTCCAACATGCTGACAACTCGGCCACGCCAAAAAAGTTGTTTTGTCAATTTTATCTCATCTTGTCTTTTTTGGTGATTTTAGGTGCATAAAACTGATTTTAAATGTATATAGGTATGTTGCTCTTTTTAATTAATAAAAATTTTTGTGTCTTACTACAGGTTACCTGGCTGTATCTCTGTTTCTCCATGAAAACCATGAACTTATTGTCTTGCTGATCAACACAATTCAAAAGGTTTGTGTCAGGGTTTACATGTATTTGTATCACTTATATAACAGACGTGAATGCTAATACTGTATAGAGTATATGTACAGGTATCCATTTATGGTAATTTGTTTTTGCAATTGCTATTAAAGTAATTAAAGTTATGTGTCTAACATTTTCTTGTAATTATAGTTTTGATACTAATATACTGGCAGGGTGAATTTGTTAACAGTGATATCACCAATTTCCAGTGAATGACTTTTCTGTGGAAATTTTTGGGATGGTGGATCACCTGACAACAATATGAGGAAAAAATTACTTATTTATTCCAAATTCTTATTCATTCCAAATTGCACTCAAAATCATGTATGTTTAAACTACCCGTGCTAGTTTCCCTTGAGGGTGTGAAATCATCATTCAGTGCCAGTTAGAGTGCTTAAATTGTCAAAATGTCACTCACCAGTCAATGTACCTTATAATTTGAATATATCAACAAAGATGAAATGGTAAATTGGCCACCATTACGATTATAAAAGCTGACGTTTCGAGCGTTAGCCCTTCGTCGGAGCGAATTTACCATTTCAACTTTGTTGATATATTCAAATTATTTCGTTACCTCCACCGACGCAGCCCCAAACAGTTTCTTTAGAAACTACCAGCCTTTTTTCAAATGTACCTTATAGTTCTGATCAAGTTGTTGCAATTCAACAGTGACTTCTACCAGTGGCTTTCCTCTTCAGGGCTATACTCTCATGTGGAAAATCAGACTTGATGAAGAAGTTGATGTGTAGCTTAATACATTGAGCATATTTTCAGTAAAGACTCAACATGTGCTTCATGATAATTCAACTAAATTGCTGAATTAAATATGTTTTAAATTGGCAGCGTGTTTAAGTTATCATTATGCACATGGAGAAATTAATCTTGAATTAGAATTACATGACTTGTATTTATAATTTTAGGATCTGCACAGCACAAATGTTGCAGAAGTGTGCTATGCACTGACAGTTCTATGTAAGTTGATTAACAAAGACATGATGCCTGCTTTGCTTCCCCAAGTTCTTGAGCTGGTTCAGAATAAAAGGTTGGTATGGCAAGTTTATGGGCAGCAAATAATTAACACCCATTTGACTGAATAATGATTTGTAACATCGAAACTATCTATATCCACAGTGAAAAAGATCAGGGAATGTGGATTGGTAGAGACAGTGTACATTGATTTTTTTCTTTACTAATTTTTTCTCCCAAATGCACTTTTACATATTGGCAAGTCTTGATTTCATTGCAGAAGCTTTAATTTTTTTTCAGTTAGTGGCTGCCACCAGTGGAATACTATAGGAATGTTTCCACAACAGCTTAAAAATCTTATGATCAGAAAGACAGTGCTGTAGTAATAGGTTATTCGTATTTTTATTACACAGATGTTACTGATAACTAACCCATTAATGGCCGCAGCTTTTGTGGAAAACTGTGTTTTAAAGCTAGCTGAGCAGATTTCGGGTCACTGTTGTGGTTTTAAAAGCTCAAACTTACCAAAAACCCCTTGACAGCCCGTGCACTCGACGGCCTTTCAATCCAAATGCAAAATGGCGGCCTGAAAATCTCGGGCACATGCAGAAAGCAAAATTTCGACATAGTTATTGGGTTGAAAAGTTATGCCCCACTTACGACTTTTACTTTTCTCTCTTTCTCCTGCCCTTTTTTTCCCCTCTCCTTGCCTGAAGTTTCTCCTCACTTGCTGGAAATTGAGTAGGCTTCATTTTGGTGTATAGATTTTTCAGAAATTGCTCATTATTTTCAAAGTACATGCTCAGAAAGGTAGGTGGGTAATGAAACACGATTTTCGTGCAGATTTTGAGGTCAAAGTGACATGGTTTTTTGGCTATTTCTCCAATCTCCTTCACTCAATTGCGCTCATTCTGGTATCGTGTGTAAGATATTTTCAACCTGTTCAAGTACATGCTCAAATTCATGCTCCAGGGTTAAAAGTGATGACGTCACAAGGCGTAGAAAGGGTGTGGGTCCCCATGGGCGCATATGGGCACACTGGACGTCAATAGGTTAAGTTATCTTCAACTTCATGTTTTCTTTAATTTTCTAATAGAGACATTATAAGGAAGAAAGCCATAATGGCATTACAGAGTCTGTACAGGAAAAATCCCTCAGCAATTCCCAATGTGAAAGAGCTTGCCATGAAAGCTACTTGCGATAAGGATCCTGGTGTGGTGTCATCTTCACTGCATGTCTTCTATGAACTGGTCAAGGTATGTTGGAGAAGGAGCAAGTAAAGATTGCAATGCACTGTTGTAGATGATACTTTGCAGCAACTTGTCTCTGTAACAAGCTGTTTTGTGTATCCCTTGGAAGACAAGTTTAAATTTCTTGCTTGGCCCAGCAGTGTCACATTGTGTGCACATATCAAAACCAATTTAGATTAAAAGATTTGTCTCAGGGCCAAACTCTTTCACATCCACAAATACTGTATTTTCAAACACTTTTACAGAGCTCTTGTGAAAATTAGCACCATTAAATTACCTTTCATCCTGTTAGGCTGAACCCTCTGAATACAAGGACCTTGTGTCAGGCTTTATCAGCCTACAGAAGGCTATACTAGAAGGCAAAATTGCAAAAGAGTATGATTATCATGGAGTAGCAGCACCTTGGATTCAGATGAAGAATTTGCGACTGATGGCATTACTTGGAGCAGATGATCAAAAGTAGGTCTTTATGCATTTTAGCTCTTCAACTTCCAAGAAACAATGAGTTATTTTCCAGAGTGACTTCCATAGATTTCCTAGTAAATTAGACATGAGAATTCCAGTATTATATCAATTGAACACCCTCTAGCTGACAAGCTTCTCCATTCTCTTAACCTGTTTGCAAGGTAATATATTAGAATCACAATGAGAAGTTACAAGTTAATCAAATCTGGAGGTTAAAGGGTTAAGCAGCTTGCACTTGGCCTTTGACAATTAAAGATACCAATTGGCTCAGTTGTAAAAAAGAGATTACCAATTGAATGGAATTAAGGAGCTAGATAGCAAAACACTGACTTAAAAAAGGAAAAGAATGGAATGAAATGATTGCTGGAAGAAATACACAAGAAAGATGATGGAAAAGAGAGAATGACACCTTGCTATTTCAAAATGGTTTTCATGGTGTGACAGTGTTTGTAGTTAATATGAGTGTTCCACATCATTACTGAATTACCTGTAAGTTATGTTAGTATAATTTCAGAGCTGAGCAAAGAGTTTCCAGCAATCTGATTGGTTGAGCGGATCCTTATGTGATGCTTTATAAACCGCTCCAGGCAGTTTATATAAAGATATTAATGTTAAAATAAGATGTCAATAAATGTTACTAACATTTTATGATTTTAGAGATTTCTCTGTTGTTCAGCTCTGAAATTATATTAAATAATAAAAACAATTATTCGCCTCAGGTTCCGTGAATAATTTATTGTTATTCGACGATATTCACCTCGCCTTAGGCAAATAATTTTTAATTACATATAGATAAACAATCATTTTATAATGTAACACACTTGTCTTCTATGTTTTTTTTTTTGTAATGTTTAAGATTTTTTCTCTAATTTTTCTCTTTTTTTTTTTTTTTTTGTAGGACCAGCAAGAAATTGTACCCAATATTGGGTTCCACTTTGTCAAAGCTACATACCAACTCTCTTATAAGTTATGGTAGGTTATTACTCTTGAAAAGTTAAAATTTTATAACTCACTTTGGAGAAGTGAGCACTTCTAATGTCCATTTCCTCTTTTGTTACTTCAGCTGTGGCATATGAGTGTACAAGAACAATAACAAGTATTTATCCAGACAAGAGTTTGATTGATAAAGCTGCTAGATGTGTTGGCTTGTTTCTTGTAGCAAAAACCAATGACATCAAGTACCTCGGTAAGTTTAATGCTTCAATTACATGTAATGAGTTTTTTCTTAATTTACGTACAAAGTAACTTGCCATCAGTCAGTCCGTTACTCAAGCAGTCTCTAACAAACTTACACAAGATTCTACGAAAATGTACTGACTGGAGCAAAAATATATAAAGTGTACCTTTATATTACAGGCTGATAAACATGCGCATTGTACGTTTAGGTGTTAGCTACCAAACAGGGACAAAATGATGTTTTTGATGAAAATGTCAGTCTAGGGTGTCTTTATTTCTCATTTTGGCGTTCCTTGTGACACTGTTTACTAGACAACCACAACTTTTCCCAACTTAGTCCGTTATACATTGAATTTTAATTTTGAGTTTTGAGTTTTGAGTTTTTAAAGTGTACTTGGTGAAAGATAAAGACAGGTACTGACAGATCCCTTTAGCGTGTGGCAGATTTGGCAGGGAGTGATAATCAGTGTCTTTAGGTAGGTTTATTTGCTCTGTTTCACAGGCATAAATATTCTAACTTCTCTAATCCAAATGGGAAGTGGTTTTGTCATGGAGCCGTCTTACCAGCGCATCGTTATTGACTGCCTCGATGACCCTGATGAGACGCTGAAAAGAAAGGTATACGAAAGAAAGTTATCTTTGTATAACATCAAATTCTTATAACACACTTATACAAAATGTATGACAACTGGAAGGTAGAATTGTGAATTGGAATTCGGGAGTTTAAAGGCCCATTTCCATCCGAGATCCTTTGCAGTCGTTTGTTTTTGTTTTGGAATCGCGCTATTGTTAAATGGCGAACTCTGATAGTCATTCACAAACACTATTAAGAAGAAAAACAAAGATTTGGTGAAGAACACAGTAAACAAATTTGCAGCTAAATATTTGTGACTGAAAAATCATAATTAAATCGAGTCTGTGTATAAAACTTGTACAAAGCTTACCTGATGTTGAAGGAAATTGTTCGGCTTCAACACTAAATAAAATGTAAACAAATAACCAATATTGGCCAAAACTGAGTTACTTTACGCATTTCAGTTATAGAATAATGACTTGTACAAATGAGATCGGTTACATACATATCTCAGGATCTCAAGTAAAAATCAGTCAAATAATTATTCTCACCTCGAAAAAATCTCCCCGGAGTCTCTAGTTCCATCGTAGGAACAATGCAATAACATTTCTGCAAAAGCACTGTCTGTGGTGTTACCGAAACCCATGGTTGTTTTCCTTACCCTCCATAAATCGTACACAGACTCTCGAAGTCGAATAACCTTTGCCGAGCTGGGCAGACTCGGCCTTCCTGATCTTGACCGCTTCTTCGGCGGCATCAACTTTTCAATTGGCGTTTTTCACCGTCATACATGTAAGAATTAAAAACTATTTACTGATATGAATACTACGATAGTTTGTTGTTCGCACATGATTCAAGATTGAACTTTGAACGCCCTAATTAGTAAGATGGAAGAAGATATCAAAGCGATTTCGCAGCTACGAGGAAAATAGCCTATTTTTCATATATGAAAAATGATCCGGGCGCGCAAGGCATCTCGGATGGGCCTTTAAGGTGAAAAAGGTGAGCGAGGTGTGCTATGAATTAGTGTTCATTATCTCAATGCTAAAAGCCACCAGAACTCATTACCGATTACTACATCTGTACATCGTATCATTAATTTGGTGTCCAGTCGTTTCGTACCCAACTTAAGTCGATTCGTACCCAATTTGAGTCGGTTCGTACTTAAACCGCTGGTCGATTCGCACCCGTCCTAGTGTACATTCATTGGAAATACCTCAAGAGCGAGCGCGTGAGCGCGTGAGCAGATGTCGATTTTTGCGTACGACGAGTAAGTAGAGTCGACCGAGTAAGATACAAGCAAAATTCTGTTGTGTATTCTTGTGCCCGTTTTAACAATGAGTGTTTTTCTTTATATCTAGACGTTGGATCTTTTATGCCATATCACAAATGCGTCAAACGTTGAAACAGTATGCGAGAAACTGTTGTCTTATTTGAAGTCAACAACAGATTCATATTTCAGAACAGAACTTGTAGACAGGACAACAGAGCTTGCCGAAAGATATCCTTTTGAAATATTATTTATCAGACGTTGGTAACGTTCTTATTTGAGTGGTCTCTGATATGAATGGCACTTTGGGTTATCAGGTGTCTGATAACAGAAAATCATGGAATAGTCTCTGACAGTGTGTTTGAAGCACTTTCAAGGAAGGTATCTTAATTCCATTTTACATTTACCTGTCCAAGAAAAAGTGAAAATAGCGCGGAAACGACCGAGCCTGCTACGAGTTTCCTATAGCACAGTGGTAGAGCATCCAAAGCATCTTAACGGAAGGACGAAGGTTCGACTCCTATGAGGACCACTCGCATTCTTTTTTTTGTTTCGAGTATGCTTGTGTCCTTCAGTAAATGACGTCGTCTTTCAGTCTATGTTGTATCCTTAACACTAATCACATATGCGCCGGACAACACGTGGTTTATCCTAACCATCAATGAAGTGTTTGAACTTGGTGGATCTCTGGTCAGAGAGGGTGTGGCACACAACTTGATGCGTCTTTTAGCGGAAGGTATACCATGCTCTGAACACGGTAGACAGCCGTCGATACTTGTTTAAACATCTAAGAGCTGGTTTTAACTTGTGATGAGATTGTTATTGTGGAGATTTACGGAGAAACAACAACAGCAACAACAAACGCAAGAACAACTCTAGCGTTTACAATAACATTGAACAACGTTGGCTCTTTGTGTAGCAGTGTTCAACCATTTTCTGAGAAGCCGCGTTCAAGCTTCGTCGAAGTTTGAACTTTTAGGTTTTTTTTTTTTTTTTTTTACGGAATATTGTTATATAAAGTACCTCGGGTTTTTTCTCACGTTTATCTTTGCAGGGAATGAAGACGAAGAAGCAGACAATGAAATCCGTCGATTTGCAGTGCTAAGCTACATTAACCTACTTGAAAAGCCTGTTTTACCAGATATTCTAGTTTGGATTATTTGCTGGGTGAGTTTAATTTTAGATAAGAGCAAAAGCCTTCAAGAGTTGTAAGACTGCACATGTGTTGCATGTTGCTCTCTCGCAGCTTCTGCCTGTGCAACATTTGGCCGTCGTCCGTTTTCAGTAACGTATGGAAAACGTTATCATTATTGCAAAGTGACGTAAGTTCCACAAATGCATACATGTAAAAAAGCCGGGATAATTAGAAGTCAGGGCACAAGAAAGCACTTGTAACCAAGTCACGATTGGTTTCAGTTTTGCAGCTTTTCAGTTTTTGTTTTTTTGTAGTTTTAGTTTTGTTTATTATACAAGTTGAGAGATGGACGAAAGTTTTTTTTTTCGACTGCGAAGCACAGCGAAGTACCATCCCACTTTTGTTTCGACAATAAATAATAATAATAATAGTAATAATAATAATTTTCACTTCTAATCGCCGTCACAAAGTACAGCAACGACGCAGCTCAACAAGGTCGAACCGAAAGCTTACAGTGGCGCCTCTGGCCTATGGCGTCGGGTCTGGGAATCGAACCCGGGCCACATTGGTGGGATGCGAGTGCTCTCACCAGTACGCCATCCCTGCTTCTCAGTCAACAATCAACAATTTTTGTTTCCTATGATGTAGTGTTCAGTGTCATTATCGTTTTTTACGACTTATGGTATTCTTTTAACTGAACCGTTCTCGGACATATCCTATTCTTCTGAAGGTGCTGGGTGAATATTCTTACACGGCCCCGGAATATGAACCGGCATTTATACTTGAGCAGCTGTTCTCTTTGATGGATAGGACGTTTCAAGGTAAAAACACGCTGGATTTTAAAAACTACTGTGCGCTCGTATTTTTAACGATAGTGGGCTTGTTTTGTGATTCACGCTAACTTTATTGTTTGACATCGGTTTATCTTGCCATTTGTCCAGCCCCTTTATCAATACATTTTTAATAGAGCAGGTCCCATATATTATTGCACTGCTTGATTGATGTAGATCCCAGCACTAAAGCTTGGATTGTGACCGCAGTTGGAAAACTGACGTCGCAGGTTGGACAGATGTGTGCTACTACAAGAGATTGGTTGGAAAAACACGTGAGTGGTGTGGATGTTGAACTCAGACAGGTTGGTATATGATTCACAGTAGCTATCTAAGTGTCTCCTGTTTGACTTTCTCGCAAAAGTATTGTTTAGCTTTTAGCTCCTTTATGACAATTGAACATCTGAAACTAAATCTTACAAAGATTGGACATCCTCAAATTGTCCGAGATTTTGGAATCAGTATTCCCCAGAATTTCAGAAATAGAACGGGTTATTGTTTGTTGTTTTGTTCTTCACGGAGTAATTCTTTTTGGATATATTTTTCTCTTAGCGTTGTTCAGAGATTCAAAAGCTCTCTGAAAACACATTCCTTATGCAAAGCGTTCTTCCCATTGATGGCTGCTGTGAGGATCTGGAGGTGAGTCGTGGAGTATTTACAATAATGATTAATTAAGGAGAGACAGTCTAGGTTACCATCCAGTAACACTCTAATATTAGAGGAACATCGATTTAACTTATTGAGTAAACTCGTCTCGCTAAATGTCGAAAACTACCAGCACAGGTTAACCAGTATCGAACCAAACAGAACGACCAGCTTTACCCACAGACAGAAACCAACTAATCACGATGGACGCTCACAATCATAGGCTGCCAATTAGCTAATATAAAAAGCACCAAATAATTTCCTCGAACCAGACTGTGAAAATCCTTCTTTGTCAAACACCCTTTTAGCAAACCTTAATATCGACCTCCTATCAGTAAGTTGAAACATCAGGTACGCGATCTAATGCTTCCCGCGCTCAGATCCTATAATGATCAGAAGAATATTTAACACACGGCATCGTTTACCTTATTTCCTAACTGTTGAATGTCAAACACGTTATTGTAGTTTTTTTTTTTCTTCTTTTTCGCATAATGTTGTTTATGTCATGGAAAATTTCAGGTAGACGAGTCACTGTCTTTCTTGGATGATGTAGTATCAGAAGCTCTTTCCAAAGGAGCTTCTCCATACAAAGCCCTAAGCGAACGAAGGACAGCCGCAAGAATAAAAGGTTAGAACGGCATAGTGTGGTAAAATAGACTAGTTGACTCTCAGCGATACTTTATTATAGCGGTTTGGATGGTTATCAGCTCGAAAAAAAATAAGGATTAAAAACGCACTGTTTTTTTTTTTTTTTTTTTTGTGCGTGTTTTTCAGATGTTCCTGAGTCAGAGCCAACTCTTAAATTCACTCCTTACGAGAATCCCATGGATCAGCCAAGGAAACCGCCTGCAGAGTCTCTTTCGAACTCCGCAACACAGAAGAAACCCAAGCCAAGAAACAAGGAAACTAAAATGTCAGATACAGCTCACTCGCAGGTCAAGGAAGCGCCTTCTACGAGTACCAAACTCTTTGCCGGAAAGGCTGTTTGGGGGCCTGGGGGCTACGCAAAAGATCGTGCGCAGTCTGGTTCCTTGGAGTCCGGTAGTAAATCTGACTCTTCGTCGCGGAGCTCTGGGTCTGAGAGACAAATAGCCTTGAAGAGTCATGCTGAGGTAACGTTTAAGTTAACGGTCACTTTGAGGGCCGTAAAATCCGATGAGCGAGATCATAACAATCAAATTCTCTTGTTTACGCCGCGTTTATCACGAAGTATCACTTTGAAAGTTCTATTTTACTGACTAATTGTCTACATGACTACGACATGTTCGCAAGGTTTTGAAACACGTTGAAATCCACATCACCTTTAGTTTGGCATGTCTGTGGTTGGACTGTAAGTGCTCTGTTTCTATTGAAACAAAAAAAGATTGGGACAAGTCGACGAGACGGGGTGCTTAAGTCCTAACTGTCTGTTTAGATGAACTTTTTTCTCCTGTGCCTTTTATCGGCCAAGAGAAAACAGTGCTTGTTCTTTCCTTTATCGAATCACTGATCAAAAACTGGTTTGACTTATATAATTTTTTTAGGTTAGCTCTGCTTCTCCCGTGACTAGTCACCAAGACGTTCGTAAACAGCAGCTGGCCGCGCAGCTCTTCAGCGGTGTCAAAGAGAAACCACGCTTATCTTCCGGAAGGGGTCATGTCAATAAAATCACTAAAAATCCAGGCAAACCAAGGACATCAGCCACTCATCCTGGATTGTCTTCAGCAAACAATAGAGCGATTTCCTCAACTGAAACGGGTTTAAAAGCTTCGGACAAATCGAACATGGACCTACTCTTAGATATTGAAAACAGCGATATTTGTGATGTTGCGAAAGAAGACGCTTCTTCCCTAGAGAATGATCTTATTTCGTCTTTTCACGATGCAGAAGACGAGTTATCTTCACGTGACGAAGCTGTGTCAGGTTTTTCTCAAGAGTCAATCGATTCCGACTCTTGCATGGCTATGACCCGAAGAGAGCAGGAGGATGGTTACCAAGCTATCCAAAAGGTTTGTTGTAGGTTTACGCATATTTTCACAAGTAAATGATTATTGTGAAACATTCTCAAAAAGCGTTAAACAAGAAGTGTACAGGACGCTTTTCACATATGAAACGACGAGGCCTAGCTTGCCAACCAATTTTCGGTACCATAGAGCTTTTTCAGAAATGTCCGGTTATATTCAAAGTAGTTACCCCTCCCAGGCTCGACAACATGTTGGAATTTTTTTCTCAATAATAAGGCCAAGAAGGGTATTCTGCATGCACTGGTAAAGAGAACGATAATCATCTGGTGGCCACCACTATAAAAGAGGGTTAAAGTTGGTAAAGGAATCCGACAGTGAACTCGGATGAACCAAGAATACCTTTCTGTTTTATGTTTTTTTTTTTTTTCTTTCTTGACATCCCAAATAACGGCTCCCGAGGGAGACTGTGACTGCATTGACTTTACAGGATAAAGGTTACTGCTCGTCACAATGGGCTTAAGGTCATTTGGGTTGTGTTTTTAAAAGAAAGGATACTCTTACGGCGCAGCTGTTTAGCAAGGGTCTACACAAATAGGTAGAAGCGACCTGTAGAAAATTAGCATGCGATCTAGAAGAAGTAGGAAAACTTCTTGTTGCATTATGCTGAAGAAACGGTGAGAATCTCTGGTATTCGGTGGCAGGAAGGGACACTTGGCACGCTTTTTTTATCTATCAGTTAATTTATTCATCTTCAGAATACACCGTTACTTGATGTTGAGATCACGGAACACCTCCCTCGACTGGAGCTTAAAGGAACGCCGTCTGCATCGTTGCCGGAAGATTTGATCAACTTCCCACATTCTGCGGAAGTTGTTGAACTGTGTTTCGATAGTAATGTGCGCGTTACTCTTCAAAAAGTTTGGAAACCCTTAGAACTTGTACTGGTTCTTTACATTACCAATCAGAATCAAGCAAACGCCCCGATCCATGACGTCAGCAGTGTGTTACAACCGCCCTCCAATTTAATTGGATCGTTTGATTCTTCGTCAAGTAGCAATCTTCATGATGAAAGCATCGGACCCCTAGAATGGGTAATACTTTTATATTATCGTGTTAAATTTATGATGAAGGTTAGTTCCCCCCCCCCCTTTTCCTTAATATTTACGAATTCAAATGATGGAGAAAATAACTAAAACGATATTTTTAAAGATAACCAGTGGTTTTTCACTTTCTCAAAGCCACAAAAAATGATTCAATCTTTCTAAATCATTACAGTCACAGATTTCTAGTTTCTTTCCTGAGATTCCAATGCATTCTTACAGAGTTAAAAACCAACAGTTTTTCTTTAAAGTTATCTACAAGTATGCTGGAAAGTGGAAGTCGGCTGATGATATTGATACAATGATATTTTGTTGTTTTGTTTCGTAGGTAAGGCACCAAGTTGTTTTGAAATACCAGTCTCCAGCGCTGCACATGAACTTTGGTGGTAAGATTTCTTACAAAGATCCTAACAGAACAGTGAAACATTTATTCTTCAATCACACCTTGAGCATAGGTGATATTCTGCGGCCGCTTGTGATCACCACAGAGGAGTACGGACAAAAATGGGCTGAAGCTTCGTTTGAAAAGAAGCAAAAAATGCCGAGTTCTTTGAAAACTTACCAAGAATTAGCTGAACGAGTGAAAGATGTGCTGAGATTTCACCAGGTGGACGCAGTAGGTGAGAAATTTTATTTCTGTGTCGCAGCTGACTTGTGGCTTATCTTTAGCTAAACTTATCCAACATTTTAGCGATGATTTGAAAGTGTGTTCTGCTAAATTAAGAAAGGCAGCCATCTAAAGCGCTAATTAAAAGGAAAATTAACGCTTCCCCAAAGTTGTTATGGGTATTGTTGCTTATCGGTGCTCACGGGAAGCTTATGTTTTGAGTCTAAACTAAGGAAAGCCCAGGATAATTCCTACTCTATCTCGTTAAAGCAGCCAGAACATCGATCCAGCTTCGGTAAACAACCAGTAGATGGTCTTGTATGAAGAGGTGTGATAACCTCTTCATTTTTAACTTTTGTGTAAGGAAAAACTAAAGGTTGCTAAGTAGTTGGAAAAAAAAAATGAATTACCCTTTCGATAAAACCAAGTATTACTTTACACGTTCAGTCATTCTTCTTTTCTAGGCACGAAAGCGATATTTGCCGGTACCGTGATGGAGTGTGGGATATGCCTGATGCACGTCAGCTTTAGTGGTACCGAGTTTGATCTGTCAATCAAGTCTAATAACAGACTGTTAAACGACGCGCTGATGAAACAATGTGTGCCTCTCTCAAGATGACATGAGGATGAAAGCTATAGCTAATGTAGCTTTTGATTTTTGCGCCGTGTCGTTTTTAGGCAAAGGAGCTTTACATCTAGTAAAAGCCTACGGAAGTGAAGCACTGTGTCGTCTTGAAGCTGACTCCTTTGACTCCTCTGCTCCATGTGCTTTTTAATGACATTGTAGCCGGAGATGGCTTCGATAAACTGGAAGCATCGAGTGGATTATCGCTACGTGACAATGCGCGTTAGCGATGTCATAACTAATGTATAAAGACTGATAGTTTCTAAAGAAACTGTTCGGCGCTGCGTCGGTGGGGGTAACGAAATAATTTGAATATATCAACAAAGTTGAAATGGTAAATTGGCCACCGTTACGACGAAGGGCTAACGCTCGAAACGTCAGCTTTTATAACCGTAACGGTGGCCAATTTACTATTTCAACTTTGTTGATATATTCAAATTATTTCATAACTTATGTAGACTATCGTGTCTCTGACATCAAGTTTTTTCCCTGTGTCAGAAGTGCTTCTTTTGATTCTAACCAACTTCGGACAATTCAGAGATTTTAAAAAGAGATTTTAAAAAGAGAATTATAGTTATGTAATTTACTAAAATTTTATTGAAAAATTGAAAAAGTGGGAAAAACTTGTAATCAAAGGAAGTCAAAACGCACGATTTTAATATATTGGGACAAGCTTTGAGGCCTTGGGAGTATCTCTACAAAACATTTGACTCTTTTTAAAGCTTTTTGCATGCACGCCTGTAAGAATAAATTTACAACACGCCTTTTTCAAGACTTGTTCACAACATTTACATTCACTTTTATTCAATTTGTAAGTCCGTGAAGCGGCGACTTCATGACGAGACGAGAATTTAACATTCTTCAGTTTACGAAACATTAAAAAATTTCTCAACAAGTGCGCATGAGGTTTTCACGTCATCGCACTTCTTATCATCAAAAGTCACCTCCGTTATCTGTAAATTATCCCTACTTGTCAATATGTGAGTTTTTTCTCGCCATAATTGAACCCGCGCCATAGCTATAAATATGGGAAGTACATACAGTGTTATCAAATACGTATTTAGACAACAGTTGTGACAGCAAGAGCAACTGTTCTTTTTTTTTTTTTTTTTTTTTTTTTTTTTTTTTTTTTTTTTTCCATCAACTCACATTGACTACCTTAAAGAGTTTCAAGGCTGACGTCTCGAGCGATAGCCCTTCGTCAGAGAGAATGATAGGACTGTTGACTGTTTTGTTGTGAAAGGCGGGAACGATTATTGATGGTGCTTTTGGAAATCTTGACAGTACATTTCATAATTGGCGTAGAATAATTATTTTTGAGACGACCTAGTGACTTAGCGGTATTGCAACTCCGAGCATCTTATTATCTTTATCTTTAAATTAGCCGGTGAAGATAATCAGTTGGTTTCATACCAAGATGACACCCACTGATGGACACGCTTCACCATTCTCTTAATCTATTCCTTGCCGGATTACTTACTAAAATTACTACGAGGAAAGGGCTTAGAGTGCATAACACATCATTCGTGGTCGTTTGATGCCACGTGCAAATTTACCTCATCTTAATGTGAAGAACAATTACAAAGTAATATCTTGATGATAAAGATAAGTAACAAAATGGAAAGTAAACTGAAAAGGAACGATTATTGGTGTAGATGGAGATGGACACCGATTGCATTTGTTCACAAAAGGCCAAAGGCGACAAGAAACGCTAAACGTGACTACGTTTATTCCAATGATGGAATATTTGTTTATCTATCGCACTAATCGGCTTATCTAAGCAATCTCACGGTCTTAATTACAGATTTTATCACCCTTGTAGGAATCTACAGAGATTTTCCATGTGTTGGCACCTTAAATATAGATAAAAATGTTGTTATCTTGATCGAAAACATGACAAGAGCTTCCTGACAATTAATCCGGTTTCAGCAAAATAAAGGTTCATTACAGGACACGTTATAGCGCATCCCAGTTGCTCTTACCCATAAAACAAGGTCTCAAAACGGAGAGTTGACATTGTTGGCTGCAAAGCACCTCTAAAAATGCTTCAGTTGTTTATCTTTTGCGCTGTTCTTTTGTCAGTGAACAGTCAAGATGTTGGGATTAAATCCGGGCATACTCAAAAACAAACTATTCATCCCAGCCAGGGAAAATCATGCAACATCAACAACTACAACAATTTCTACGCTGGACCAAACAAGAAAGTTGAAAACCTTCTTGTTGAGGTAAAGAGGGAGTTAGAAGAGTTAAAGAAGCAAGTGGCTCATTTAAGGAATGGCAACAACACTACTTCAGATGGTGAGTGTGATACAATTCATAATTTATTGGCTTAGGAAGGACAGATACTAGAACCAAGAACCGGCAGAACCAAGTGTACATCGTCCTTTTGCTTCCTATTGCTTTACAGACACAAAGTTCACATGGCATTCATTCTGATCTGCTACAAGCCCTATATTGTTTCCTCAAATTGCATTAAATTCGGCTTATGAAGTTTAGGGTCTCAATAATAAGGCCAAGCTCGGTAAAATTTTGGCCAATTTACGGCTAACGATGACTATATTTCCATTGTAGTCATTAAAAATTTCTCTTTGCGGTTGACTAAAAGTTTTTACTGTAACAAATTAAAAAAAAAAATTGTCAATTTTTACGGCTAAAGGCTAATTTTTTTTGGCGCCCTTTTACGGCTAACTGGTAACCCCGTTCAAACCCTCGAATTTGGCAATCGATTGGAGGCAGCCAGATTGTAATTTTTGACCTAAGGGGGACAACAATTGGCACGTCACATTCTTAATCCGGCTTCCCCCCCCCTCCCCCTGCGCCGTCCTTCACCCCCTCATTTTTATATATGTATCAAATCCTCTGTTAATGTAATATGATGCGGATCTCAGGGTTTTTTTGCATTCTTTTCAAGATTTGAGACGATTAAATTCACACGTTTAGTCGACTAATTAAATTTCGTTATATCTAGGAAACCCTCGAGGCTGTGCGAAGATTTATACATCCGGACAAAAAAGCAGCGGTGTCTATACAATTGATCCTGATGGTTCAGGTGCCTTTGAAGTGTACTGTGACCAAACGACTGCCGGTGGTGGGTGGACTGTGTTCCAGAAGAGACTGGATGGCTCGGTTGATTTTTACCGCGACTGGATTGACTACAAGAATGGCTTTGGTAACCTGAATGGGGAGTTTTGGCTCGGACTGGATAAGATAAACCGAATTACAAATAGTGCGAGTTATGAGCTTCGAGTAGACATGGAGGACACTGAAGGAAAAACAGCTTACGCCGAGTACGACTTTTTTTCTGTCACAAGCGAGAAGACTAAGTACCAGCTGAGGATCGGGACTTATTCAGGTAATTTTTTAGTTTCTTTATGTTAGTTTGTCTTTTGCATGATAAGCCCTTAAAAATGTCGCTGGAGAAAGCGACGAATACATAGTAATCAAGGAAGGGAAAATTTGGTCGCACACAAAGTCGTTTTTAATTGCATTTATTTCCAATAAATTAAAAACGATTGGACCTTAAAGTGCGCATCACCATCTTATAAGTAGTGACTTGTGAATATGCGCTGGTTGCAGGCATTTCCTGTATTTCACTTTTCGAAGATCTCTTATTTTTTCTCGTGATTTTTCAAAACCTGGTGAGTTTTGATTTTCTTTTCTTTTCTGTTTTAATAACTTTCAGTTTGATTTGTTTCTACAGGAGATGCAGGGGATTCTTTAAGTCGCCACAGTGATGCGCCATTTTCCACCAGAGATCAAGATAATGATAGTTATGGAAACAGCTGTGCTGTGATATACAAAGGTGCCTGGTGGTACACAGCCTGCCACTCATCCAACTTGAATGGTTTTTATTATCATGGAAAACATTCATCGTATGCTGACGGTGTCAACTGGCGAACCTGGAAGGGGTATAAATATTCCTTGAAACGCGTTGAAATGAAAATAAAACCGGCCAGTTTTGAGTGAAAACTGTTGCCGTTAATTTGATAATAGAGTTGATCATAAATGAATATCTGAAGGTTTTTCTCACGAGAAAGTCGCTGTCAAATAGGATTAGAACAATTTCAAAAGAGTGTCGAAAGTAAAGTGAGATTGCATTGGTTTTCCTTTTCTTAGCTCTGCGCTTGGGTAAGAAAACTCGCCCCACTCTCTCGACCAATGATGACTCAGTTTTCACTTTGAGTTCCAAAGACTTCATCTAAACAATATTCATTAGTCTAAACCTATAAGAACTCTATCACTGTAGTTGTGAGCAAAATAATAAAGCTTAGCCTGTCCTGTTAACTTTTCAACAATTAGCAGATTTATATTCAAGTGGTTCGATGATTTACTCTCACGATATTAAGCCACAGAAATTTGGAGCTCATAGTCTAACTTTTGGTCAACTAATAAAATTAGCAGGCGGAAGCTGAACGGAATTCCCGATCTAAGCCTTTTGAATACCAACAATAGAATAATGATGAAGATCGAAATGTAAATCGACAACACCCTGCTTCTGTAGGGTTTTGAGAAAATCATTCGTCGCCTGACTAACTAGTTCACAGTCAAGACTCAATTGATTCTGACTCTATACACCGTGTTTCATCTTTGGGAAACAACAATTAGAGGTTTCTTGGGCATTCCTCTCGATGAAAACGTGAATCACTTCAGCAGTCAGTATTTTCACATAAAGAAAAGCAACTTACGCCCTTGAAAAAAAATGGGACCTCCCTCGACCACAATCATTTACCCCCTCGTTTTTGTATTTTTATATGTTTCAAATCCCATTCTTGTAGGATATCAAACGGATCTTAAGTTTGTTTTGCATTAAAAACGGCTTGTTTATCCTCAAAATTCAGCGGTTTCAGAGCATGCCAAATGAAACATGACACATTCCTGCTTGGGACCAGGTAGGGGTTATTGATTATGACCTTCACTGGTATACAGGTAGGGTTTAAAGAAAGGCCATCCAAATAAGACTTCATCCAATAGTCATCAACAGAGATAATGCAATCGAAATTCCTAAAAGTATGGATACCCACTATCAAAATACACAACAGCCGATCAGTAACAAAGGGAACAACATCGTCGAATTGATAATGTGGATCAAAATACACCAATGACCAAAACACACCAAAATACACACCAAAATACACCAAAACACACCGGCGTATCAGCAAATTAAGGTGCTATAAATTGTAGATATGCAGTGATGTTCTTGACACGTCACGCAAAACAGAACACGTCAAAGAATCGCGAGATACATTAGTCCAGTTCTTTAGCTTCTTATTTGACAATAGAGAGTTTAAGAAAACCACGACAACAACGGAACCAGGAACGTCACTAAACAATTTCTTTGAAAACAAAAGCAGAAGCGTTTTTGTGTTCAATGTTGTCATGGTAATCTCGTCGCATCATCCATTTTGCTGTTATACCGCTATTACACTGAAATAGCGATACTTTCATCCAATCAAATCTTCGAAATTTCTCCACTTTTATCATAACATTTTGTACGTGAACCTTTGATGGGAATTATTGCGTCAATTCTCTTGTTTATTGAAGAGACTGTACTGTCAAGTTAAGTTTCATCAACGTTTTGAATGTTTGTACAATGCGTGCACAAAATCATGATTTCATATGTCTAAAAGGCGATGTTCTTATTGAAGCATTAATAAAAAAGCATTACCTTTAAAAATCCTTTTAACAGTAATCATTTATCGCCTGACTAAACTAGTTCACAGTCGAACCTGATTCGATTCTGACTCTTTATTTCGTCGTTCATCACAATACGATGATCAAGAGAAGCGTCTTTTCTAGTTGCGTTCATTTTAAAAATCTTATAAGTAACGAAAAAAATAAAAATAAAAATAAAAGTAAAACAACAACAAAAAAGGAAAATCGAGGAGGCTCCATGTGAATAGCTACACCAGCGTGTGTGGGGTGGTCCTCAGTAGCTGTTTTGTGGGATGTTATTCAATGAAGAAGTTAGAAATGTGGTAAATTTCATAAGATTCTATTTCAACTCTTACTCAAAATGATTGATGAAAACCAAAACAGATAATGTCCTTTTGTGTTCTCTTCATTTAGAGAAATTTTGTGGAAAGAACCGCTTTATTCAAATAAAATTATTAACAGACCAACAGGGGAAACTGGCTGAGACAAAACTGCCCTTAACCTCTAACTGAAGTTGACAACATTGCAGCTGCCTCACAATGAAGTTTATTTCAATGATACTCACGATGTTTGCTGACTTCGTGAAGATTCAGCTGGGGTAATACTATTGATATTCATCTTCCAAGGTGCGCGCGCTAAAATATGAATAAGTGTTTTAAAGCGATGCCACAAAAGGGCTAAAAATTGTACAGCGAATATCCCTCCATAAATGGTTAAGAAACCAAGTCCGATGACATCCACACCTAAGATTTTGAGATCTTTGTGCCGGACCAGCGCCAGTATAATTATCATCCACAAGGCATTACTGACGCCAAAAACCAGGAAAGTTGTATTTCTTAGTTCCACGAGTTTTTCTTTAAGCTCAGCCGTCTGACCAAACGCACTATTCTCAGGAATTAGGCATTCTTGACGTAAATCATTCCAGAAGTTGTATTCATAACCTTCGTCTGAATTATCCAAATCAAGCAACTTTAATGGAAGACGACCCAGCTCGTTCCTTGTGCGCCTAATTTTCTTTTGGCCTGAAATGAGCAAGAAAGCATTAATAGTGGTAACTGAATCGAGTGGAGTGTAGTATGTTCTGAAATCATACTTGTGCATGATTTCAAATCAAATTCGCACTGCGCGCTCGTTCGATTTGAAAGCACAAGTATAATTTCAGAACAGACTTTCATTGCACAAAGTCTAATTACCAGTTAACTATATCCATTCTGCTATTAAAGAAATTCAATTGCTCAAATACAGAGTTTTCTATTAAGTACAAATACTTTATTGATCCAGTACTGAGCTGGTTTGTAAAAAGGTTGTCTTTCATTTTCCTACAATTTGATTTGTTATTTTAAACTAGCCTTGAAATCTGATTATTATACACTCTCTTAAGTCATACCTACAGACAATAGTTTTATGCGCTCTTTTCTTTAGAAGTGCAGTTCAGGAATATGCATGATAAAACAATGAAGTAGTTGTCTTGTTTTAATAAACCTTCTTCATTGGCTGGAAAAAGGATACGATTTAGAACAAAAGATGATACAATTCGGGAGTAAATCGCACTGATGAGAGCTAATCAGATTGCAAGGATCACCAGTGATTTCAAAATGGACGTCATAGATAAATTAATCATCTTAAATGCTTTGCAATAATTATCAGTCAGCGGTAACACTGAGAGACGATTTGAATAAGAAGTATCTTAACGAAACCTTATAGAATCTCATTACTACCATATGAAGATTTCAGAATGTTTTCACCATTGTGAGATTCCAAACAGAAACTCAGCGTCTGGGAAATTACCTTCAGATGTACAGAAAAACTCGATTATGCGCGCCGCCATTTTGAATCGTCCCAAAAAAGCCTGCGACTCTGCATAACTATTTGAGTCCAGAATTGCGGTTTAGGAGCACCTTTTTTTTGTTATGACACAGGCAAGAAGCCAGGATGCTAAACAATACCAAACGAGAAAAAATGTATCCAATCTTGAATTTTACCCCCTTTACACGTTAGGTTACTAACTTCTTGAACTGTCAAAACATGGAAGGTTTAAATTTTTATGTATAACTATTGATGACGGGAGGAAAAATCTATGGTTTGTAAATCAATCTCCCTGAAATGTGAACTATTCCGAAGAGGCCAAGTCTAAAACGGCAGAGAGTTACATGTCCAGTCAGAGGAAACGATAAGAAGTGAAAAGATCATTGTATTCAAGAGAACATCAGAAATCGTCGGCTAGAGTGTGTGTTTATTCCAGGAATATGATCCCGTACAGAAAAAATAGCCTTGTGTACGGTATAAAAGTTCAACGACCTCTTCTAGATCATAATTTATCCTTCGGTGGTTTACGCACCTCGATTAGGATACTGCAATTTGTTAATAAGAGATTTCAGTCGGTTTAAATGGCCCGGTTTTTGGATGAGCAATACTTCCTTAAGCCTGTCTTTGCTCATGTTCTTTAAATCTACCAAGTCGCTCGGTTCTGTATAACATTTGTCCCTGAACGAGGGCCAGTATTCTTCGAGATCGTGTTCTTGTAACCAACTTTCTACGTTTTCCTGTTAAGAACCATGAGTTTGAAAAATCAAATCAATCAAAGATTGGTGGACGGAAATGCGGGCTTGGTGGTTAGGCCATGGCCTGAACAAATTTTGAAGAGCAAAAGCACGCTTTATCAATAAAGGAGGGTTTAAAGGCATTACTTACATTTTAAAAGATGAGAAACTTACTGGTATGTTTTCTTCGATTTCAATACGAGGAATTTTCTTGATTTTTCTCAACAGTTTCTGTCGATGTCCTATATTTTGTATACCAATGCTTTCAAGGTCCTAGAAAGATTAAGAAATAACACAACTTAATCATTGTTGCACATGAGGCAAAAGGGCTGTAAAAACGTCTGGCAGGAAAACCTGTGGTCCTTGGGATAATTATATATATCTTATTAACGAAGCGCGAGGGCCATACTGGGAGAATATCGGTCCGAGGTCTTGACAGTACGGACGGAGCGCAGCGAGGTCCGTACTAAAAAGGCCGAGGGCCGATGATCTTCCAGTACGGTCCCGAGCAAGCTTGGTTAATAAGAGATTTATTATACGACTGAAGTTCAAAGGGACACAAGTGTGGCATCATTCGGGACCATTCGGGACTGTGCCCGGTCCAATACTTAGAGAGTATTGGACCGGCAATAGAGCATTTTGATTGGTTGATTTTAGTTATTGGCCCTCTGACTGCCCGAGTCGTGTAATAAATTCCAATATTACGAAAAATGTGCAACAGAAACGAAAGAAATACCGATGCATGCAATACATAGGAAAATATGGAGCACTTTATGTAACAAACAGCGAGCGCAGTAATCGTGAGTTGTAGCCACTGATTTTAACAAATGATTAAAACTACCAACTGTTAATCTGCGAAATACTGTCATTTTCTGATTTATTGGCCCAAACGAGAAAGAAACCCAGTAACAACACCAAATGATGAGAAATCTGTTTGATTCTATTATCACGACCTTAACTGTCAGCATATTAATCTGAAGGAACCAAGGAAAACAAAAAAAGTATAACATCATTTGTTTGTTGTTTTTTCTTTTATTTGTTTGTTTGTTTGTTTGTTTGTTTTTTTTTTGAGATCTTGCAACTTACCCTGTCGTTCAATCCAGCAATAAACTTTGCTTTCTCATAGCCATTTTCGCGAAAGCTCGTTGCATAATCCTGCAATCATATGGAGGAAAATACAACAATGTCTACACAGCACAGAACACTAGAAATTTTGAAGTTGGACAGCCGTTGTGAGGTATCATCAGAATAAGGTAGCTGATGTGGCGACTCTTGGGTTATTGAATGATGTAATCGCACCTTTTCTTATTCTGCATTACCTTTGTTATCTCAACAGGTTGTCCATGTTTTTTTATCATCTTATTGAATAAGGCTCAGTGATTCATAAAAACATAAAGTTTGAGAGACTAAGACGCAAATGTTTCCTGTTTTTATGAGAATGGACTGAGTTTTACTCGGAACAACTTCAGCTGAACAATCAGGAATTTGATGATGATATACATGACTCCAGCTATGTGGAGGAAAAAGAAAAGATCTGGAATGACAATTCACTATGATAAAAGAACTATACAAGGAAAATTAATAAAGAAATGACTCTTACCTTCAAATCGTCAGGTATCCAATCCTCTACTGGAGAATTTGGATCAGAGTCAGAAACGTTCTCAAGCGCTGACCCAGGGCGACTACTTTCGTCTTAGAGAAAGAAAAGAAGAGAAAGATGTTAGAAATCATATACTGCACTAAAAAACAAATGACGAGAAATTGGAAGTCGTATTCTTTCCCCATTCATTTCGTTAGTTTGCTCTACTAACTAAGAGCTTTAGCTTATAATTTCACAGTGAGTCCGTGAGCCCGTCAGATATCTCGCAAAATTCAAATTCTCCATATAAATCGTCGCATCGAGCAGTTTGGCGGCGTAACATTATTAAAAGTAAAAAAAACAAAAAAACAAAACAAAACAAAAAAAACAAAAAAACAAATAAAAAAACCACTGCATTACCTTGCAAAAATGAAACTTCCCTAGCATTGTTGACTCTTACAATATCTACATACCTTTTGCTGGAACTGGAAGTTGGGCTTGAAATGCACGAGATCGTGAATTTATCTCCAACTGATATTCTGAGCTGTCTACAGTAATTGATTGCGTGGACTCAATTTGTGTGGAAAATATTAAAGGGGAGTCGTTTTGGCTCTTTTGAGGTATGTATGTTTGGTTGATCTGTGGATTCTCGGTGGGTTTTGGAAGTATAGCCCTTGGGATAGCAGGGAGGACAAGTTTGGATGGATTTCTTGAGACTGATATGCCCTTGAGATCAGCTCGAGGCGGCAGTGTTTTAGTCAAGCAAGTTGGAAAATCCTCAGGGAAACGATTGAACTCATTGTACCCCTGAGACTTTCTTTTAAAATCCTCTTCTTCATTAATAGGTGCCCTCCTTCCATCACGATCATCAGCCCAGGCTTCTTGGACAGAGATTTCATTTTCGTGTCTGATATTTTCTTCAATTCCTGTCTGCGAATCAGAAGAGGATGCTATGACTTCATCTTTGATATCTTTAGTTAAACTAGTAGTTGGCTCGGAAGATTGGCCGGGTTGCTTCTGGTTGAACGCAGAATTTCCATCAGGATTCATTGCATCACCTTTTGACGTCGAACGTTTTGATGTTCTAACTAGTTTTTTTCTTGGGATCTCGGCGGCAGAATATACAACATCTTTAGAGATCTCTCTTACGCTTTGAACACACTCATCTTCAAAAACTGATTTATGTTCGTGGCTCTCAAACTTCGAGCTGTCTGTCGATGTCTTCTTACTTTTTGCAGGGACTGAAAGCCGAGTAACGTTTGTTTGATCTTTCTTAGACACACATTCCTCCGTCTCAAGAGCTGCCCCTGTGTTCGCATTTGGATCTGATTGCCCTCTTAACTGAAATCAATAAAAACTACTTAATATATCTACTGAAACGAAAAGAAGTCTAGCCTAAACTATTTAAAACAGACGAACGGAACCCCTCTATATTACTTTTTTTGTCGTACCGTATTTCCATAGAGAAACGCCCTAACCTTAAAAATTTCTTTCGCAAAATTTTCTCCAACTGAATAAATCAGCAAAATCACTTCACTTGAGTAATTTGGTTGTATCAAATAAGTTGAAATTGTAAATTGGCCACCGTAAGGAATAAAAAAAGCTGACGTTTCGAGCATTAGTCCTTCGTCAGAGCGAATGAAGGAATTATGGGTTGTATATAGGTTTCTATTCAGAAAGCGGAGCTAAGCCATTGGTGGAAACATGGTGACAAAAACAACACGAATAAATTAGTGGAATGAAAAGCGTTCGTTGATACCTGTGGGATTAAGAGTGCTGATTTGAAAGATAAACTTTTGTTCAAGAGTTTTGCGGCTTTCCGTGTTGTTTAAATCTAAGGAAAGACCGCTGATTGCCATATGTTGTTTAGAATGATTAGGTAAATTAAAGTGTCTAGCAACTGGTTTTGTTGCTTCCTTATCGTTCCTTTCTGTACGTCGCGAAGGTGTTCTCGAAATCGGTCACCTTGTTGTCTTCCTGTTTCGCCGATGTATAAATTTTTGCAAAAAGTGCAAGAGATGCAATAGATTACATTGGCGGAGTTGCACGTGAAGTGATCGGTGGTCGTAATGGATCGCTTGGGTCCCGGTATTTTCTCAGATTTGCGAATGAAAGGACAAGCTTTGCATCGTCCGCGAGCGCATTTAAAAGTGCCGGGTTGGACATTGGTTTGGAATGAACTTCTGACTTCTGACTTCTGGAATGAACTTCATTCTAAACTAATGTCCAACCCGGCACTTAGAAAGGAAAGATAAGGACGCATCAAAACCAGTCGCTAGACACTTTGATTTACCTAATCATTCTAAACAACACATGGCAATCAGCAGTCTTTCCTTACATTTAGGCAACACGGAAAGCCGCAAAACTCTTGAACAAAAGTTTATCTTTCAAATCGGCACTCTCAATCCCACAGGTATCAAGGAACGCCTTTCATTTCACTAATTTATTCGTGTTTTTCTCGTCGCCATGTTCCCACCAATGGCTTAGCTCCGCTTTCTGAATATACTCCCACATACAACCCACAATTCCTCCATTCGCTCTGACGAATTCGAAGGGCTAACGCTCGAAACGTCAGCTTTTTTATTCGTTACGGTGGCCAATTTACAATTTCAACTTAGTTGATATAACCAAATTACTCAAGTAAAGTGATTTTGCTGATTTATTCAGTTGGAGAAAATTTTGCGAAAGAAACTTCTAAGGCTAGGGCGTTTCTTTACGGGAAATACGGTATGACAAAAATAGTAAAAAAGGGGGGTTCGTCTGTTTTAAATAATTTAAGCTAGATTTCTTTTCGTTTCACTAGATATATTAAGTATTTTTATTGATTTCAGTTAAGAGGGCAATCAGATCCAAATGCGAACACAGGGGCAGCTCTTGAGAC